AATAAAATAAAATAAAATAAAATAAAATAAAATAAAATAAAATAAAAAGTGCTTGTTACTCTTACAGAGGACCCAGGTTCAATTCCTAGTACCCACAAAGTAGCTAACAAACCACCTATAGTCTAGTCCTAGGATTTCTAATGTCCTCTTTCAGCTTTCAAGGCCATTTCATGCAGGTACACAACCTTTTTTAGGAGTGAGGGAGTGGTGGCCGGGCATGGTGGCACATACCTTTAATCCCAGCATTCAGGAGACAAAACCAGTTAGAGCTCTATAAGTTAGAGGCCAGCCTGTCTACATAATGAGACTTTAAGAAAAAAATTTTTTTTAATTTTAAAGAAATGTTTGGACAGGATTTTCACTGCATAAATGGACATAGCTGGCCAGACAGTGGTGATACACACCTTTGATCCTAGCACTCAGGAGGTAGAGGTAGACAGATCTCTGTGAGTTTGAGGCCAGCCTGGTCTACAGAGTGAGTTCCAGGACAGCCAGGGCTACACAATGAAACCCTGTCTCAAAATACACACACACACACACACACACACACACACACACACACATACACGGACAAGAACAAGTAACAGAGAAATCGGGGAAACTGATTTTTCAGTTGTCCTATATAACTGTCAAATGTCCATTGGCTCTCTTGCCTCTTGCTTCTTGTGGCCTCACCCCTTCCCTTCCCCCTCTCTCCACGTGCTCATGGCCAGCCTCTACTTCTCTACTCTCTCTCTCTCTCTCTCTCTCTCTCTCTCTCTCTCTCTCTCTCTCTGCCTCTACTACCCTCTTTAACTCCCCTCCCCATGCCCTGAATAAACTCTATTTTATAATAAAAAAAACGGGCAGTGGTGGCACACGCCTTTAATCCCAGCACTTGGGAGGCAGAGGCAGGCAGATTTCTGAGTTCTAGGCCAGCCTGGTCTACAGAGTGAGTTCCAGGACAGCCAGGGCTACACAGAGAAACCCTGTCTCGAAACAAACAAACAAACAAAACAAAAAAAAAACAAAGAAAGAAAGAAAGAAAACAAAAAAGAAAAGACAGCATCAAGAATAGAGAATAAGGAAAAAGATTTTGAGATAAACTATCTTTAAGAAACCAGACACTAGGGGCTGGAGAGATGGCTCAGGAGATGGCTCAGTGGTTAAGAGCACTGACTGTTCTTCCAGAGGTCCTGAGTTCAAATCCCAGCAACCACATGGTGGCTCACAACCATCTGTAATGAGATTTGATGCCCTCTTCTGGTGTATCTGAAGACAGCTACAGTGTACTCATAAATAAAATAAATAAATCTTAAAAAAAAAAAAAAAAAAGAAACCAGACACTACAGTCAATAAATGCTACACTCAATAGATAAGATGTTTTAAATGATCATCTGCCTTTAATATGTGTGACATAAAACAGATGGTCAAATAACATAGGGAAAAAACTTCTTTTTTTTTTCCTTTTTTTTTGGTTTTTCGTGACAGGGTTTTTCTGTGTAGCCTTGGCTGTCCTGGAACTCACTCTGTAGACCAGGCTGGCCTCGAACTTAGAAATCCACCTGCCTCTGCCTCCCAAGTGCTGGGATTAAAGGTGTGCACCACCACCGCCCAGCGGGGAAAAAACTTCTAAAAATGCAATATAGAGAAAGTCATAATTACAGTTAGAAATACCAAAATACTCCCTATCAGTAATTGACAGCTCTAAATGGGCAGAAAAGCATAATGGTAATAATGTTATTCAACAACATCAACCAGGATTTCAGTGATATTTCTAGAACACTTCAGTCAACAGTGAAACTAAATGACAGATCACATTCTGAGTGAACAAACACACAACACCAAGCACATAAAGTACTCAATGAGTATGGAAGCATTAAACAGCAATAAGTAACATAAATGCAGTTAGAAACCTCCAAACTGGAAATTAAATCACAAAGTGCCAAATCACATGTGGGCGAAAGAGAGTCATCTGAAGGAACCTGAGTAGTTCAAGGAAAAGAAATGTAAATTGTGGAATATAGTATAGCCAGTACATAGGAAAAGTTTAAAGCATCAAATTCACTTCTGGAAACTTGGGTCTTCTACAACAATAGTATGCACTTTTAACAGCTAAGTTGACTTGATTGTGAATCCATTGGCGCCTCCTCAGTTTCCCTGGGTTGATACAGGACTACCTTGTTCTTCATTCTTTCATTCCTAGCACCCAATCAGGGAGCTCTCAGCTCCTCTAACTCCAGTTTCAGGAGGATCTGATACCTTCTGGCCTCCACAAGCACAGTACTGGTGCACAAACTCTTGCATACACATAATCAAAATAATTTAAATTTAAAATAAATGATATATCTTTAACAAAAAAGAAATCAAATGGGCCAGGAGTACGAGACCCTGCCTCAAGAAGTGAAACAAAATTAATAAAAGCTAGGCATGGTGGTATATATCTTTAATCCCACAGAAAGCTCCAGGCCAAACAAGGCGACACAGTGAAGCCATATCTTAAAAGTAAATAAACCAATGAACTGGGCTAACGAAACGGCTCAGCAGGTAAGGCATTTGCTCTACTGCTGATGGTATGAACTCAGTTTCTAACTTCTACACTTATCCTCTTATCCACTTTACACACACACCTTGGCACCCAGGCTGTATTGTGGCAACTTGACACAAGTTAGACCATCAGAGAGAAAGGAACCTCACTTGAAGAAATGGCACTTGAGATCCAGCTGCAAGGCACTTTCTCAATTAGTGATCAATAGGGAAAGGCTCAGCCCATTGTAGGTGGTGCTATCCCTGGGCTGGTAGTTCTGGGTTCTATAGGAAAGCAGGCTGAGTAAGCCATGTGAAGTAAGCCAGTAAGCAGCACCCCTCCATGGCCTCTGCATCAGCTCCTGCCTCCAGGACCCTGCCCTCAGGATCCTGCTCTGCTTGAGTTCTTGCCCTGACTTCCTTCAATAGAACAGTGATAGAACGGCCGGGCAGTGGTGGCGCACGCCTGTAATCCCAGCACTTGGGAGGCAGAGGCAGGCGGATTTCTGAGTTCGAGGCCAGCCTGGTCTACAGAGTGAGTTCCAGGATGGCCAGGGCTATACAGAGAAACCCTGTCTCGAAAAACCAAAAAAAAAAAAAAAAAAGAACAGTGATAGAAAAGGGTACACAGAATAATCCCTTGCCATCCCACTTGCTTTTTGGTGGTGTTTCATTGCAGCAATAGAAACCCTAACTAAGACACATGCAAACAAACTCACACAAATAATAAAAATAAACCAAATGGAAATAATGAACTATAGCAAAACCTAGCTATTTGCAAACATGATTATAATTAACAAATCTATACTTAGGTTTATAAAGGAGAAGACAAAAGAATTACTTAGAAGATCATTCTAAATCCTATCTTACCGACATTCAGTTCTGTTCTTTTGTTTGTTTGTTTGTTTTGTTTTGTTTTGTTTTTTCGAGACAGGGTTTCTCTGTGTAGCCCTGGCTGTCCTGGAACTCACTCTGTAGACCAGGCTGGTCTCAAACTCAGAAATCCACCTGGCTCTGCCTCCCAAGTGCTGGGATTAAAGGTGTGCACCACCAGTGCTCGGCTCAGTTCTGTTTTTTGAGACAAGGTTTTATATATATTAATCTGGTAGCACATCTTTCTAATCCCAGAACTCTCAAGCTGAGACAGGAGGGTCTGAACTGGATGCCCACCTGGTCTACATAGCAGGTTCTAGGCAGTCAGTGTCAGCAAGGCCCTGTCTCAGCAACAACAAAGCCAACTTACTAACTTACAAGTTCATCTGTCACACTTCGGGGAAGTGTATTCATTTTCTAAAACAACAATGGCAAACTAATGTTTTCTCAATATTTGAGTCTAGGCCCATATGACACCCCCAAAAAAAAACACTCAGAAATGTTTCTGTATATACTAGAGAAAGCAAAGAATTAAACAAGAAATCAGAGAAAATGAGACTCTACTTTATTGTTGAAATCTACTTCTTGATAGCTTCAAGAATATTTCATCTTGCATGTGGTACAGCTTTAATCCCAGCACTTGGAAGGCAGAAGCAGGCGGATCTCTGAGTTTCAGGCCAGCCTGGTCTACAGAGTGAGTTCCCGGACAACCAGGGTTACATAGAGAAACCCTGTTGAAAAAGAATATTTACCTTATTCAGCTCTGAGTACATTTCTAACTTATTGAAAAGCTTAGATTCAAGTAAATGAACAATGATTTCAAGGAGATAAATATAGAAAAGGGGCAGAAGAACAGACAGACCTGTCAGGATCAACTGCCAAGTAAAGCCGTTCTCTCACCCTAGTGCTGCTGAAAAACTCAGCAGCCACACCTCCTCAGGAGACACCGTACTGACTCAAACACAGTCTCAGCTTTCTATCCCACTGCACTTTGATGGTTTTCTTTCTAATCCTTGGGGAGAAGTTCTCTCCACTAACAACTGAGAGACTCAAGATGGCAGAAAATATTGCTCTGAGGCCTTCATTCACCAGCACCTAACTAAACAATGTTTCCTAGGAGTGGAGCTAGGCGTACGGGGAGATAATGTCCCTAAAAATTAACTATTGAGCTGGAGAGATGGCTCAGAGGTTAAGAGCACTGTATGCCCTTCCAGAGGTCCTGAGTTCAATTCCCAGCACCCACATTGTGTCTTAACCCATCTATAATAAGATCTGGTGCCCTCTTCTGGCCTGCAGGCATACATGCAGGCAGAACAATGTATACATAATAAATAAATTCTTTTAAAAAATATTGAGATAAGGACTATTCCAGGAGATTCCTCCAGCTCCAGGGCCTCTAGCTGCTCCTCGAAGAGGTTTCACCCCAGACCTCAGACTGGTGTCTAAGTGGTTGACTAAAGGTTACCTCGGACGCTGGAGAGATGGCTCAGTGGTTAAGAGCACTGACTGCTCTTCCAGAGATCCTGAGTTCGATACCCAGCAACCACATGGTGGCTCACAACCATCTGTAATGGGATCAGATGCCTTCTTCTGTTGTGTATGAAGACAACAACACTGTACTCATAAAAATAAATAGATCTTTTAAAAAAAAAAAGTCAACCTTGTCAGCATCTGGCAGTTCTGAAACCTAAGACCATTACTAACCGGAAATGAAAAAAATATTGTGTCCATTTCTATTTATTTAGGAACAAAAATAAACAGTAATGGTTGTCACTCTTTAAACCTTTTACACTAGAAGTTGACATTTGAGAATACTGGGAGTGAAACTGCTTTGGAGGGCTGCAGAGATGGCTCAGTGGTTAAGAGCATTTGCTCTCCTTGCAGGAAACTGGATGGAGTTCCAGTAGCCACTTTGGGTCAGCTCATAACCGCCCATACCTTTAGCTCCCCTCAGACACCCACACACATGTGTGTATCCACATACATCCACAAATAAAATAAAAGCGAGATGAAAGCCTGGCATCTCGGCCTTCACTCTGTCAACCTCCTTTATTTTGGTTCAACCTAAGCATATGATTATATGCTCAAGTGGTGTCTGTCTAACCCACTTTATCTTTCAAGGCTGGGGGCACAGTGATAAGTTATGGTCCTTAACCTGCAGTCACCCAGGATTCACTGAAGAACAGCTCTTCAGAGAAGCAGAAGCTATCTCCAGAGAACCACTACCTAGTCTCCTCCAGGGCTTAAATGAGCGGAGACAATGATGGGCGGGGCCCAATTTGCAAGAGGCTGCTGCTGTTTAAGCTTGTTTCTGGTCTAGCCTTCGCTCCTGTCCAAGGATCAACTGGGGTATGAGTGTCACTAGACCCTTTATCTGTGCCCGCACTGACGAAATCTCCACTCTCGGCTTTTCCCTACTAACCAACCATCGGTCTAACTCGGTGTCCTGAGACTAGCTGGGGGTCGGCCCTAAAGACTAGAATTTGGGAGATTCACTGTGAACACTCGGGGCAGTCAGGCGGAGAGAAAATAGACTGAGACCCCACTTTCCAAACCTCAGGAAAGCTCAGCCATGGTTGACGGGCGGGAACCCACAACTAGAAGCCAGCGCCCCAAGTCCTAAGGTGGGTCGGCCAGGACGCCCCAAGTCCTGAGGTGAGTCGGCCAGGACGCCGCAGGGGCAGATGGGAAGCGAGGGGACCCAGGCCACGAGGACCCAGGACAGCAGCGGGATCGGGCCGCAGACTCCAGCTACGGAGGCCTTCCCTGAGGCTGGTCCTGGTTGGATGTGGCCAGCGTCGGCCGGAACGCTCACCATTTCCGAATTTCTGCCGTCCCGCGTCGTCTGCACCTCATAGGGACACTAGCTACAGCAGAGCCACCTTACACAACTGTGAACCAGAGACACAACCAGAAGAAACGGAACCTGAGCAAGAACTAAACAGTGAAAAGAACCAAACACCGCGAGAGTAAAGCAACCTGCCCCGCCCCTCCGCTCCAGCTGCGGCCTGGTTGGACAATTCCACTCTGATAGACAGGAGGTTTGGACACGCCCCTAATCCTTGAGCGACTAGGGATGTAATCCAACTCCTGACTGAGAGATACTTTAGGGACAAGATTTCTCAAGATTTCTCTGCACTCTAGCAATGGCTCTGCCAGGACACACTTGCACTTGACCTACAGAAGACATATCCATGGGACAATATCATTCATATATATGTATGTATGTATGTATGTATGTATATATATGACAATATCATTCACAACTGGAAATATCTAACATGACAATTATTTTAAATTTTTATTGTGAATACATTGAGACAGGGAGGGTCTCGTGTAGCTTATCTCAAAGACAGTTCAGGCCAATTTTGAACCCCTGACCTGCTTGCCTGGATCTTTTGAGTGCTAGGAGGACACATGTGCCATTATGCAGGTTATGCGGCACTAGGGATCCTGCTAAGGACTTCCTGAATTCTAAACAAGGACTCTGCCAACTAAGCTACAGCCCTTATTTTAAAAATTTAGATGTCATAATCTTCCTAGCTTGAGGAGTGTGATGGCTATTTTTGGTTGTCACCTTGGCTACATCTGGAATCAAAACCCAAGCAGCTGGGAATGCTTGTGAGGGGTTTTTCTTGACTCGATCATTTGAGGTCAGAAGATCTACCCTAATCCTGAACTGCACCTTGATGACAGGCTATACAATGGAACATGAAAGAAGGAAGCTTTTGCTTTTTACCTGCTTGCCTTCCCTCTCACTGGCAAGTCTATCTTTCCTGCTACCAATCCTTGATGGTATTAGAATCTACTTCTTTAGGATTCCAGTGTATACTGAAGACCAACCGAGACATCCAGTCTCTTTGGCTGCACAACTATATGATTCCTGGGCTCTCTGTTGGGGGACAGCTAGTATCGAACTAGCTGAACCACAGTTTGTAAAGCACTCTAATAAATTATATATACTCTCAGCTCTGTTCATCTAGAGAGCCCTGGCTAATACAAAGAGCTAGCCTGAGCTTTAAAAAGGAAGGCACTCCTCTAAGACAGTAATGGCTAATAGAAGTTAATGAAGGGCCTCATCTATAATTTTAAATTTTCTAGAAACCACATAAAAAAGCTAAAAGAAACAGGTACAGTTTGTGAATGGTGGTGACAGAGGACTTGGCATCTGGTCTTCGGCACTTACAGACAAACCAAAGAACCAAAAGACTTTGATTCAAGGGTGGGATGAAGAAACACTTCTGTCTGCAATCACCATGCATGGTCAAAGATTAGGCTTATGTAAGTGTTCCAAGTCAAGAAACATGGCCCAAGTCCCGCAGCTACCCAGAGGCTGGATAATATTTTTCATTTCTTCAGACAGGGACTTCTGTAAGCCAGCCTCACCAAGCATTATATAGCCAGCATGGTCCTCCTGTTCTTACCTTCCAATGCTGAGGTTACAAGCTGGAGTCACCATGCCCAACAGGCAGGAGGACCTCAGACAAATCCCCGAATCTTAGAGGCTGCAGAAAATTACACTTCTCCAGAGTAACCGGACTACTTTGAAATTTGTATCTATCTGAGGTAGGATAAAAAGACAGGAAACATTACAGTGACGTGAGAAAGGAAAATAGCCTATTGTCCTGCCATTCTGGCTTGCACTTTCTGCTGAAGAAAAAAACCCAAAAACAGCAACAACAACAAAAAGCAAAACAGGACATTTTAGGGACCACTGAAAAAACCCAAATAACCTATAAAGACATGTATTTTCCAAAAGGCATCTTGTCAAACACAAGAAATAAATTGTGTTTCTTTGGGACTAGACAATACTATCCTAAAGACATTTCAATAAAGAATATTGAACAGTAAATTGTATTTACCTAGAGTAAAATTTATTTCTAGGGCTGGAGAGATGGCTCAGTGGTTAAGAGCATTTGAAATAAAAACTTAATGGTTCTTTGGAAAGTGGGTTGGATAGTGTTTTGCTGGGGCAAACACGTGAAAGAATGTTTAGCTGAAGTGGACACAGATGAAAGGCAAAGGCAGACTCATAAAGGAATGTTTAACTGAAGCAGACACAGGTGAAAGAATGTTTTGCTAAAGCAAGCACACAATAGGACACATGATGAAGAATTCTTTGCATGCATGTATTGGTCTGCCTTACATTGCATAGTTGAGCTCCATTTGGGACTCCATAGAGAGAAACACACACACACACACACACACACACAACCTTTTGGTGGTGTGCTATAGTTTCTTCCAGACTGGGGCTGATTGACAGAGTGATCTCAGCTCAGGCAATACTCTTAGAGGACATGTGATGTTTGGAGGGAGTATAAAAATAACTCAACAGACAGTGACAGAGGCTGAGTTTGGCTTGCTTATAGAATTAGCTGTACAACACTTGTGTTTCTCGAGTCTTTGCTGATCTTTACTTCGCCGAGAAAGCTATAGCTGAGAACTTCTCCTGGTGTCTCTCCTGGTCCCTCCTGCTGACTTGAGCAGAGGCTGAGGCCTGGCTGTCTTTGCTAGGTAGTGCCACCACTGCTGATTGTGTTTGCTATCCTGAGGCTATTGAACTGGACTGTTGGTGTATCTGTGAAGTGTTTGTGAGTAGATCGAGCTGTCACTGTGGATCAGTAAACTGCTGATTTCCAGACAACACAGATAGGATTTGCTCCAAAGAACTCTCTCTAAACAGATCCATTTCCCCCATATCCTTTGTTTTCCACTACCTCTGGTGGGTGATGGGATAGAGGGGAGGTTAAAGCATTTAACAACCACCATTAAAAATAAGTATTGAAAAAAGTAAAGTTACAAGCACTGACTACTCTTCCAGAGGTCCTGAGTTCAATTCCCAGCAACCACATGGTGGCTCACATCCATCTGTAATGGGATCCAATGTCCCCTTCTGGTGTGTCTGATGACAGCCACAGTGAACCCATATACATAAAATAAATAGATAATTCTTTTAAACAATTGTTTATAACCTTAAGTGTCTACTGTTCTTCCTTAAACCTCAAAAAGATACTTCTCACAAATATACTCACAACTTCATTTACAAAAGAAACGCTTTAAACATTTTAAAAGACTTTTTTAAAGGTTTAGGTTTGTTTTGTTTGGGGGTTTTCTTTGTTTCCTTCTTGTCTGTTTGTGTTTGTTTGTTTGTTTGTTTGGCTGTTGTTGTTTTGAGACAGGGTTTCTCTGTGTAGCACTGTTTGCCCTGGAATTCACTCTGTAGATTAGGTTGGCCTCAAACTCAGAGATCTGCCTGCCTCTGCCTCCTGAGTGCTGGGATTAAAGGCGTGCGCCATCACTGTCTAGCTCTTTTTTTTTTAAGCCAGAAAATATCTTTTAAGGCTCATTTATTCATGTATTTTATGGATATGGCTTCTTTGTCTGTATGTACATCTTCACACTATACCAGAAGAGGACTTCAGATCCAATAATAGATGGTTGTGAGTTGCCATATGAGTGCTGGGAATTGAACTCAGGACCTCTGGAAGAACAGCCAGTGCTTTTAACTGCTGAGCCATCTCCCCAGCCCTATCTATGTATGTGTGTGAACATATACCACAGGCATGCAGTACCCAGGGAGGCCAGAAGAGGACATGGAGCCCCTGGAACTGAAGTGACAACCATTTGTGATCTGCACAATGTGGATGTTGAGAACCAAACCCTGCTCCTTTGCAAGGGCAGTAAACACTCTTTCACCTCTGAGCCACCTCTCCAGCCTCTCTTTCTGTTTATAATCCAACTACGCTTCATACTGGCTCTCCTTGAAATCTTTTCTTCAGCAAAGCCATGAACCTGGTTTTGCCTGGGAGGAAATCTCTGAAAATAAATAAATAAATAAATAAATAAATAAATAAATAAATAAATAAA